CCACCGTGGGGCTCTGCCGGCGCTCACCCGAGGCCCTAAGCTCCACCAGCGCTCACACCGGGCACCACGCTCCGCCGGCGCTCACACCGGACGCCACGCTCCGCCGGCGCTCACCCCGGGCGCCACGCTGACCAGTGCTCACACCATAAGCTGCTCTCTAACTATAAGGCTCCCTGAGCGGTTTTCTCAACTCAATCTCCCCCTTCCCCTCAAGGGACAGAGGATGGGAAGTAGGAAAAAAGTGGCAAACATCTGATTCCTGCAGACTCCTGGAAACCGGAAACCTCATCCTCGTAGATTGAGAGACCCTAGATTCTCCATCTGCCCGTTTTGCAGAAAAGAAAACTGAGGCTGAGGGTGAAGGTAGGGGTAGGGTGACATGTTGCCCAGGCTCTCCTGGCTGGTTTGAGGAAGGGGTGGGAGCAGAACCCAGGGGCTGGGGCCCCAGGCCCGGGCTCTTCCCGCGGCCCTGGGCAGTAAAAGAGCAGGTCAGAGTCTCTGGAATGCTGCCCCCAAGCGGCGAGGAAATGATGTTGCTGTTTAGCTGCTCAGTCGTGTCCTTGCGACCCCATGGCCTGTAGCCCGCCAGGCTCCTCTGTCCCCAGACTTCCCAGGCCAGAATACTGGAGTGGGTTGCCATTCCCTTCAACCAGGGGATCTTCCTGACCCAGGGAGCGAACCCACGCCTCCTGCATTAGCAGGCAGATTCTTCACCACTGGGCCAGCTGGGAAGCTCATGAGAGGATGAGCGAGGGGCTTCGGGCCACTGCGGCCCCGAGGCCTTGTGCTAAACCTTCAAGGGCTGGACCAGATCTGGGGTGCCCCCAAAGTGGGGTGGCCGGAAAGCAGAAGCCCTCAGGACTCTGTCAGGCGATGTGCCAAGGACGTGTGACGGGGCCCAGAAGGGCTTCCAGGGAAGGCTCCAGAGTCAGGCAGATCAAGGTCTAGGTTCTGTCGCTTGCGAGCTCTGTGATTTTGGGGAGATTACTTACCCTCTCTGATCTTCAGCCGCCTCATCTGTAAAATGGAGATAATAGCCCTACAAACCTGGAAAGACTGCCACGAAGAAGCGAAAGAAGATAATGTGTGCTGCCCGGCACATTCAGCAAACACTGCTTATTCTTTTCACCCCCTTGGAAGCACGTTTAGTATCATCCCTGCCTCACAGGTGGGGTAAAGCAGACTCCAGGCGGCCGCCCCAAGTGGCGGGGCCCTGGGACCTCCTCCCTGTGTCTCCCGCCCCCGGGAGGAGGCCTCTGCCTGGCATCAGGGAAACACAGCCACCCCCCTCGGAGCCCGCCCCTGCCCCGCAGGCCTCACATGACCTGGCCCAGCCCAGAGTTTCCCAGTCAGTCACTGGGGAGGAAGCCAGTGCCCCAGGAAACTGCTTAAACACCGGCTCAGGCTCCGGGAAGGCAGGTTCCCAGCTCGCGGCAGTGACCCAGCTCCTCCCCTGCCTCCCGGGGGCGCGACCCATCCTCAGAGACCCAAAGGACAACACTTAAAGGCACGGGGGGCCTGCAGATGGTGATGGTCCACGGGAACTCCGGTGAGCCCCTCTCCGGGAGTTACTCACCACCTGCTTCCACCCTTGAGACTCTGGTTGTTTCACTTGAGGAACTACTACCTGGGTGCCCTGCCATGCTGTGTGACCTCAGGCAAGTTGCTTAACCTCTCTGAGTCTCAGGAACCTCTCGAGTCAAGAGAAATGAGCAGAGTCTGGGAAGCGCAGAGTAGGCAGCAGGGTCCGAACAACGAGCCAGGGGTCAGCGCCTGCGGCAGCCTCTGCAGGCCCCCCCGACCTCTCCTGTCCCTCCCAGCTCAGTCTCCACCCAGGACAGCAAGTTCTGAGCACGCTGGGCATGTCCCTCCCCAGACTGAAACTCTCCAACGGCTCCCGTGGCCAAGATACACTGTGAGCTCCTAGTAAGACGGAGTCCCGGGCCACACCTCCTCTGCCAGGCAGGGGGGACAGCGCGCTCAGCACAGCCCCTGCACACACCTGGGCCGCCTCTGTCACCCTGCACCAGCTCCCTGCTCCGCCCAGCGCCCCGTCCCCGGGAAAGTTCCCTGAGCACCGCTGCCAGGTCAGGTGCCTCCCCCGCATCAGTTACCTTCCTGTCCCGACACCCAGCCCGGACACGTGGTCACCGTATCTCACTCATCTCCAGCTCCGAGCCCAGCACCCGACTCCTAGTAAGTGTCTGATACAAATGCGCCAGGCGGGGAGGAACGCGAGGAGAAGCAGATGAAAGCAACTTATCAAACCCGTGAGCTCCGGCGTCCTCCTCTGCAAACGGGCAGCGCTGGGGGAGGCAGCCGGCTCGCTGGCCGCGTGCCCTCACCCCTGCAGGCTGGTGCGGGCCTGCCCTGCCGGGGGGCACCCCAGCTCACGGGCCTCGCCCCCTCCCCCTGAACAGTGAGCACGGGAGCAGCACCCGCAGCTCACCCGCGGTGACAACTCAGGGGCTCAGGCCCCCCAGGGGCGGAGTTCAGGGTCTGGCAGGGAAAAGGGGTTGCTTGCACTGGACCTCAGGGGAAGGCAAGTGGGAGGTGGGCGTGACGGGGTGCTGAGCTTCTGCCACAGGGTCCTCCGAGCGCCTGAACACCACTCTCCCGACCGGCTCAGACACCGCCCTCATCTGCCACCTGTGTCCTGCGACCCAGCGGCCCAGTGCCCTAGAGAACACGGACCCCGTGGAGGCAGGGAACTGGGGCGCAGCCCCACTGCGCCATCTCAGACCAGCCGCCGACCTCTCTGCTCCCTTCTCTCCACACAACGGGGGTCAGACGCTGCTTCCGCCAACTGTGGGGACCCAGGCATCTCTGCCCGTTCCTCTAGCGGCTGCAGAATGACCTCTCCCGGGGGGCCCACACCCTCCCCATTCTCACCCTCACAGTCCTCGTGGCCCTTACCTCACCACCCTCAAGGTTTCATTGACAGTTCCGCTGGGACTGTCTCCAGCCTTCCTTCTGTACAATCCAAACTTACCCCATCTTCTCCCATTTCCTAAAAGCATCCCTGCTCCCATCAAGCAGCTGGGATGGGAAACTGTGTAAATCTTGAAAGAGATGGGGATACCAGACCACCTGACCTACCTCCTGAGAAACCTGTATGCAGGTCAGGAAGCAACAGTTAGAACTGGACATGGAACAACAGACTGGTTCCAAATAGGAAAAGGAGTACGTCAAGGCTGTATATTGTCACCCTGCTTATTTAACTTCTATGCAGAGTACATCATGAGAAATACTGGGCTGGAGGAAGCACAAGCTGGAATCAAGACTGCCGGGAGAAATATCAATAACCTCAGATATGCAGATGACACCACCCTTATGGCAGAAAGCAAAGAAGAACTAAAGAGCCTCTTGATGAAAGTGAAAGAGGAGAGTGAAAAAGCTGACTTAAAACTCAACAATCAGAAAACTAAGATCATGGCATCCGGTCCCATCACTTCATGGCAAATAGATGGGGAAACAGTGTCAGACTTTATTTTCTTGTTCTCCAAAATCACTGCAGATGGTGACTGCAGCCACAAAATTAAAAGATGCTTGCTCCTTCAAAGAAAAGCTCTGACCAACCTAGACAGCATATTAAAAAACAGAGAAACTACCAACAAAGGTCCGTCTAGTCAAAGCTATGGTTTTTCCAGTGGTCATGAATGGATGTGAGACTTGGGCTATGAAGAAAGCTTAAAGCAGAAGAATTGATGCTTTTGAACTGTGGTGTTGGAGAAGAGTCTTGAGAGACCCTTGGACTGCAAGGAGATCCAACCAGTCCATCCTAAAGGAAATCAGTCCTGAATACCCATTGGAAGGACTGATGTTGAAGCTGAAACTCCAATACTTTGGCCACCTGATGAGAATAACTGACTCATTTGAAAAGACCCTGATGCTGGGAAAGATTGAAGGCAGGAGGAGAAGGGGATGACAGAGGCTGAGATGGTTGGATGGCATCACTGACTCAATGGACATGAGTCTGAGTAAACTCCGGGAGCTGGTGATGGACAGGGAGGCCTGGAGTGCTGCAGTCCACGGGGTCGCAGAGTCGGACGCGACTGAGAGACTGAACTGAACTCCCATCAAGGGCCCAGCGCCTCACCCCACCACCCCCACTTCATCACACCGGGGACCACCCTCTCTCATTTGCCTAAAGAACAGGCTCCTGAGGACGTCCTTGGCAGTTCAGTGGTTAAGACTGCACCTTCTAATGCACGACCAGGTTTGATCCCTGGTGGGAGAACTAAGATCCCACATGCTTCAGGGTGAAGCCGAAAAGTTAAAGAACAGAACAGACCTGGCCCCTGCCCCGCCGTGTCTGGCGCCCTCCTGAAGCAGGCCTGGCCCCCAGCACAAGTCCCCGGGGACATCTTTCCCCAACTGCTCTTGGCTCGGCCAGCACCCCGACACTCGGGCCCTCCTGGCCCCTCAGCCTCTCCCACTTCAGACTGCAGCCCCTCAACCTTCCAGAGGTGCTGTTATAGTAGAGGCGCACACTGCCTCTGTGCTTCCGTCTGGTCTGACTTGCACTCTCAACAGCCTGCAGCCGTGGCGACCGCCAGCTCTGCACTGCGGCAGTCCCAGGCATCGCGCCGGCTTCCCGGACACCCCACTCTCCCTTCCCGGAGCGCCCAGCCGCCTCCCCCCAGCCTCCGGGATCCCCCTGACCCCTGCGTGGTCCCGCCTGCAGCACCTATATGCTAATGACATCTAACCGAGGGGCCCCCAGGTCACTCCTGACTTCAAGCCAGCCTCTCACATCTGACCCCAACTGGATTGTTGGATTCCCCAAAGCTATGCTTCCAGCCTCCTCTGAACCACCTTTTCTCAATGACATCACCACCCACCGGACACTCAGAAGAAGATTCCAGAAGTCTTGACTCCTCTTGATTCCTCTCTTTCCCTCACCCCATGACCAATCCACCAGCAATCCCAGCTGCCTCTTTTTCTGATAAGCAACCTGCGTGCAACCACTTCTCTCCAGCTGCGTGGCCTCCACTCACACCCCGGCCACGCTCGCCCTTCACCCGGGCCCGAGTCCACCCGGCCCCGAGCCGCTTCTCTTCCTGCAGCCCGAGGGCCCCTCCTCGAGGTACGTCGGAGCCCACCAGGCTCCAGCGGGTCGTGGAGGGCTGGAGGGACGGGCTGGGGGCACACGGTCACCTGCGGGCAAGGCTTCCCCTTTCCATTCGCGCATGAGGCCCCCACCCCCCGGCACCCACTCCAGAGCTTCCATGTCACAGGCACTCGGTTTATTTCTGAATAAATTATCTGAAAAAAGGTAAACTTTCCAGCACTGTTAATAGCTGAAATCTTGGGGATCATATTTCATTAATAAAGTATTCACGGGTAACTAAAGAGAAACTGCCTACGGCTTTCTGTTGCACCTGGATTAACCATCCTAACCTGCCGTGATCAGTGATCCGAAGGGCCCTGCACGGCCTCACCTGCTGCAAACCAGCCGGATCGTTCTGGCCTCGGGGCCTTTGCATCTGCTGTGCCCCTGCCTGGAACACTCCTCTCTGCTCCGAGCAGGGGGAGGGGGAGCGGTCCCCTTGTCATTCAAGACTCAGCTTGGGGACTTCCCAGGGGTCCAGTGGTTAAGACTCCAAACTCCCAGTGCAAGGGGCACGGTTCGATCCCTGACCAGGGGACTAGCATTCCACCTGCCACGTGGTGTGGCCAAAAAACTTGAAAATAAAACATCTTTTAAAAAAGACTCAGCTTAAATGCCTCCCCTCAGAGAGGCCCCCTGACCACTTCGAGCTGACAGATTCTGCAGCACTAATCCCACATACACCCCCTTCTCTGCCAACCCCGCCCCCACCCCATTATTCCCGTCCTTTCACATTAGGTCGTTTTCTTCGCAGGACTAGTTTCATGACATGCCGTTTACCCTGTTGCCTTGTTTGATTTCTCTGGCTTTTGTCTCCTCCGCCATCACAAAAGACCCACAGGGAAGTTCTCCCACTGTGGCAACAGCAGGCAACCCTGCCAGGCTCTGGTGGGGGCCCGGCTCTGTCCTGAGCAGCGTACTCGTGCGACCCCATTTCACAGACGGGGAAACAGATACAGGTGCGGCAAGAAACAGGCCTGGGAGGAACCGGGTACCGCCGCCCTGCACCCCCCCCCAGGCCCAGCCCAGACCCCGCCCTTCGTGGGTCCTGAAGAGGTACCTGCCGACTGAGCAGATGAGCCGCTGAACAAACGAAGGTTAACCGCGGGGCTGAGAGAGGTTGTCTTCAGGGGGTGCAACGAAGGGCGATTTTAAACGTCTTCTCCCTGAACTTTCCAAGTTTCCTTCAATGGTCACATAATACATGCATGATTTAAAAGTAAAATAAATCCTGATTTTAAAAGAAATTCAAAGGTTCTGAGTAATGTTTGGGTTCAGGAATATTCTTCTTCAATTTCCAGAGACTGCTATTCCTCTATTTAATTTAAACCATTGTTTTCCTAGTGAAATTGAATAAAAAGCCCACATTTTTAAAGCTCGCGCCAAGCCTGCCCACTTCAAACAGTGCAGAGAGGGCAGTAACAGGAGCAGCCTCCCGCCTCCCACTCAGGTCTGGACTCGGGGATGCCCCCCGATCGGGAGCCGCTGGAGGGGGTCCTGTGGAGGCCAGGCTCTCGGGGAGAGGGGGCTCAGCCCCAGAAACGCCGCCCCGCCGCAGGCCCCAAGCGCGGCCGTGCACAGGGGTCACCCCAAGCCACTGCGCTGCCCCGGACCGGGGCTGTCCCTGCACGAAGGCGGTGGGGAGGCCGCCCCCCCGGCAGGCTGGTGGCAAGCTGGACCCCTTGGCAGATGGGCCCCTCTCAGCCAGCAGGTCAGAGAAAGGCGAAGCCCGTGGCTCGGCGCAGGCTCTGACCTGGGGGTGGGCACAACCTATACTCCGGCCGAGCGAGCCGCCGCCTGCCCCGAGTCCCCACCGTGTGTGGGTCCTGCTGCCAGGGGCCGTCGGGGGCGCAGCCAGGCCAGGCCCCAAAAGGGGTGGCATGGCTCCAGGGTACAGGGCTGAGAGCCGGGGTTCTGGGGCAAGCAGGGCCAGGATGAGCCATGCTGCGTCGGATCCTCTGGGCAGGAGACATAACCCACCTGAGCTGTAAGGGGAGCTGATGACACAGGCCCCTCATCAGGGTGGCCGAGGACTGAATGAGCTCCCTGAGACCTGTGCCGGCTGAGGAGCCTGCCCCGCGTCAGTATGAGCTACGACCCGCAGCGCTCTCCAAAACGCCAGTCGTTATTACCTGCTTTTTCCAGATGCCAGGCCTAGCGGTCCATCTGAGCACCGAGTTCTATCCTAGGCTTTGACCCTAAACTACAGGGCGATGACCACAGCTATGTGGGTGAGAAGACACGCATCCCCTCCCAGTGAAGGGCAGGGTGTGCGCGAGTCCAGACGTGTCAGTCTTCGCTCCCTCCCTTCTTCCACGGGAGAAGGGAAACGGAACAGAGCGGGACTGTAGGAAGAGCTCTTTGGTTTGGATCCTGCCACTCACGCCGTGGCCCTGGGAAAGTCACCCAACCTCTCAAGACTCAGTTTCCTCGCCTATGGGGCTCCCCTGGTGGCTCAGATGGTAAAGGATCTGCAATGTAGGAGACTCGGGTTTGGTCCCTGGGTTGGGAGGATCCCTTGGAGAAGGGAATGACTACCAGTATTCTGGCCTGAAAAATTCCATGAACAGAGGAGTCTGGCAGGCTACAGTCCATGGGGCTGCAAAGAGTCAGACATGACTGAGCGACTTAACACGCTTCCTCATCTATAAGATGGGATAATAGTCCCCATCTGAAAGATCAGTATGGGAGTTAAACGAATCGATGCATGAAAAATGTCTTCCATAAAATATAAGCATGAGTTGTCTTTAAGAAACAAGCTCCTAATTATCTGCCTAAACGAAGGGCAGGAGAAGCAGAGGTGATCAAAAGCACTGAATAACCAGGACTTCCCTGGTGGTCCAGTGGTTAAGACTCTGTGCTCCCAATGCAGGGGGCCTGGGTTCAGCCCCTCGTCAGGGCACTATGAATGAGATCCCACATGCCACAGGTTGAAACCAAAAAGAAAGAAAGAAAAGGCACTGAATAACCTAAATAACCGTGACTTTCATCTTTGGGGTGAACAGAAGGAAGGAGACACACCTTCCCAATTCTTTTTTTGGCCTCATATTAAAGTGGAAATCTTTTTTTAAGAGTCCACCAGCCACAGATGCTGGTGCTGGCGCAGCGGCAAGCTTAGGGGGTAACAAGAAAGTGCCCCCAAATTAAAGATTTTGTAGGGAGCGGGTGACCCACAGAGCGGATGCCCCAGAAGGAGAGGTGTGGCAGGGTTCCTCTGCAGGTACCCAGATGATGCTGGGCGCTCAGACTTGAGGACGTTTCAGGACTTGCCCTGTTCTGTCGCAAGCCCTGAAGACTCGCAGCTCGCTGACTCGCAGCTCACTAAGCTTCCGACAGCTCACGCCTCTGAGCCTTGGCAGTTCCCTCCACCCAGACCCCTGCCTCTCCCCACCCAGTCTACTGCCGCACTCTGCACACCCTCCTGGATGTAGCTGGACACACACCCCTCTCCCAGCCAGGGCTCTCAGACTGTCCAGGAGCTACAGCCTGCCCATTAGACAGTCCGATTCTGCTCTGCCCCTGACTCCACAGGCAGACTCCTGCGTCCTGCCCACTGATGCCGAAGCCAGCCCCAGGCAGCGCCAGCCACCTGCGTCCCGGCCACGACACCTTCACCAGCCCCGAGCTATTGAGCTTGGCCACAGCCTCTCCTCGGGCACGCCTGCCCCTTGGCCTCCCAGATACCTGGGCCGTCTTGAGTGTGGTTTTCCCATCAGGGGCCAAGCAGGCTCTCAATTAACTGAAATGTATCCATATCCCACGTGCCTGGGAAAGTAAGCGCGCAGTGTCTGAAGGGCAGAGCTCACCTGAGGGCCACTTCTTCAGTGTCACCCTGCCATCCCAGCCGACCCCGCCCCGGGACAAGCTGCCACACTCACTCTGCTCCTGTGAGGGCCCTGGAGGGTCGTCACGTCAGAATGCCAGCTCCAGGGGGGCGGTGCCCGGGGAGCCCACTGCCAGATCCCCACGGCGTGCTGTTGGATGTCTAACCACTGGTTCTCTGGAGGGGGAAGCGGGGGTGGCTTGATTTTCAGCATTTCCCAGTTTCCCTGCTGTAAACACTCTCGTGTGCTCAGTCGCTCGGTCGTGTCTGACTCTTCGCGTAAATTCTCCAGGCAAGAATGCTGGAGTGGGTTGCCATTTCCTACTCCAGGGGATCTTCCCGACCGAGAGATCGAACCCGGGTGTCTTGCGTCTCTTGCATTGGCAGGCGGATTCTTTACTCCTGCACCCAATGCTCTCACTGTGGCCAATTTCAAGCTACAAGGTGAGCCACTGAACCCAGAGCTGGGAAGAGACGGGAGGTAGCGGCTGGGTGGCCAGTACAGCCCCCACTGACGAAGGCCCCATTTACAATTTTTCAGTCTTACGATGGTGTGAAAGCAATACGCATTCGGTGGAAACTGCACGTGGAATTCTGAGTCTGGATCTTTTCCCAGGCTGGCGATGTGTGCAGGACAACACTCTCTCGTGATGCAGGGCAGGGCAGCCCGCCTCCACTCCCGGCCAGACCCGCAATCTCTCATCACCACTCTGCACTCAGACAGCCACTCCGCGTTTCACTTTCTGTCCAGTGTTCGATAAACTGCATGAGACAGTCAACACTCTATTATATAAACAGGCTTCGTGTTAGATGATTTTGCCCAACTATAGGCTAATGGGAGTGTTCTGAGCCCGTTTAAGGTAGGTGAGGCTAAGCTAAAATGTAGGTTAGGTGTATTAAATGCATTTTTGACTTATGATATTCTCTTTTTTAACATTTTATTTCTTTATTGGCCACACCATGTGGCTTGTAGGATCCTAGTTCCCCGACCAGGGGTGGAACCTGGGTCCTGGCAGTGAAAGCACTAAGTCCTAATCACTGGCTCACCAGGGAATTCCCTCGACTTCGATTTTAAACAGACGATGGGTTTATCAGGACCCATCATAAGTTGAGGGACATTTGCCTATATATGTGTGTGTGTGTATATATATATATATATATATATATAGAAAGAGAGAGAGAGAAACATATATACATACAAAAGATACAAATAACCACAGAGAGAGGCAACAGTGAGAAACTGGAAAAGGAGGAAGTACTATGGTTTGAGTTTTTATTACCCTTGTTTCCAGTGTAATTTATTTAAGTATAAATTTGTAACTATAGCCAGTTTACTATATACTGTAAACTTGCATGTTAAAAGCCCAGTTCACAAAACGCCTAAAATTTAGCAATCAGCTCTCACTTTGGTACAAACTGACTCCAGCACACGACTGCCCGGGGCCAGCACAGGCTGCGTGAGGACAGGTCACTCCGGGGAGCCCATCAGACTAGGCCTCCGGTGGAAAGTGACACTGACGCCTCCATCAGGGCGAAGAGAAACCAAGGGGCTCTCTGGGGACACACGAGACGAGGGGGAGCACGGGCCAGCCTTCCGGAGAGAGGGAACCGCGGGGGCAGAGGCCCTCTGACGGAAGAGCAAGGAGCCGGGGAGCCTGATGGGGAGGCTGGAGAGGCAGCGGAGTGAGAAAGACGGGGCCCCCTGAGGCCTCGCGTGCCGGGGGAAGGGTTTGGAGCCCCCTCAGAGGTTTCACCCCAGTCACAGGGGGCCTGGAGGTTCCCAGACCGGGCCCTCCTGTGTGGTTTACATCCCCGGAGCCCAGACGCTCTGGGGCACCGTGCCGGGAGGACAGACAGAGGGACGGGGGGACGCCGCAGTGGGGCCCGCAGGGAAGGGCTGAGGCTCAGTGAGCCGCACGGTCTGTCCTCTGTCCCGGCGTCTGGGGGGTAGCGGAGGGGCTGCAGCGGAGAGCGGCGGGACGCCCCCGATGGAAGCCCCGGGCAGGGCCGAGGGCTCTGAGCCAGCCTCAGCGCCAGAGACCCCTCCCCACCAGCCCCCTGCGTGGCCCGAGGCAGGGTCCTCGGGCTCCCAGGCTGAAGGGGGCCTCCAGACCCCTTGCCCAGGGTACCCGCCTGGCACAGGGAGGAAGCACTGCCCCCTGGCTCCGCTAGGTCAGGGGCGGCCTCCCTCTCAGGACTGGCCCGGGGGGCCCGGGAGGCTGCTCCTCGTGTTCCCGGGTCCACCCCGTCCACACGTCTTCTGCCTGCAGCAGACGCCAGGCCTGACTGCGCTCTGTGGCCGTGGCCTCCCCGCGGCCCGGGGCGTTCTCGCCAGCCTCCCACTCTCCTCCTCCAAGAGGCCGCCCTGCTCCGCCTCCGGGCAGGGCTCCAGGGTGGGAGAGGCCGGCCCAGAGCAGAAACAAGACCGCTCCCTGACCCCTCCTCATCTCGGGACCCCCGGTCAGCGCGGGGGAGCTGAACCACGGGGACTGCAGGACCTAAAGGCCCGCACGGGAGCCAGAGGGACAAGGAAGCGCTGGGTGGAGTGAGGATTCCCAAGCTGTCTGCACAGAGCCTGCCACACACACACACACACACACAGACACGCACACAGACACACACACACACAGACACACACACACACACCCCCAGAGAGAGACACACACACACACACACACACCAAGAGAGAGACACACACACACACAGACACACACACACACACGCACACAGACACACACGCGCGCGCGCGCGCACACGCTGATGCACAAAGGCCACACGGGGGTTGTGAAGACGGCCGGGACGCCGAGGAACACACAGCCTGTCCTGGGGGAGCACACTCGGGTGATGCCGTCACTCCAGGACACAGGGCTGACCTACACACAGAAGACGAGGCTCCGGGAGCCTCCCCCAGAGACACACCCGGACACACGGAGGTGGCTCCCCCAGAACCGGGGACACAGGATGGAGCGGGGACCCCGGGCTGGCGCGGGGATGCCCGCGGGGCCGCTCGGCCCGGGGTCTCGGGATCGCGGAGCCCCCCCCCGCCCGCCCGCCACGGGCCGCACTCACCGCTCGGCCTTTGTTGTCCGCGCCGCTCACAAAGGCGCCGGCGGCCGCGCCTCAGCTGCCCGGCGG